CTCCTGGACCTCTCAGCAGCTTTCGACACCATCGACCATGGTGTCCTTCTGGATAGGCTGGCTGGGTTGGGAGTTGGGGGCACTGTTTTACGGTGGTTCCTCTCCTTCCTGGCTGACCAGGAGGGTAGTGTTGGGGGACAAAAGCAAAGCAAAAAAGCGAAGTGTGCTGCTATATACCGCCCCATAGCGCTTCAAGCACTCTCTGGGCGGTTTACAATTTTATTATGCAGGCTACACATTGCCCCCCCAAGCGAGCTGGGTACTCATTTTACCGACCTCAGAAGGATAGAAGGCTGAATCAACCTTGAGCCGGCTACCTGGGATTTGAACCCCAGGTCGTGAGCACAGTTTTAGCAGCGGTTCAACCACAGCGCCACGAGGCTCAGTTGCTCTGTCCCATGGTTCTTGTGTCATGGAGTTCCTCAGGGCTTGATACTGTCCCCCATGCTGTTTAACATCTACATGGAACCGCTTGGAGGTTTGGGCTGAGGAGTCAGCAATATGCTTATGACACCCAGCTGTACCTCTCGTTTCCCACCAATCCAGGTGAGGCACCTGTAATCAAAATAAAAATACTCTTTCAAGAGGATTTAGTATTAATAGAAAATTCTGTCTGAAAATGGGGAAAACTTGCCAGTCCCAAAGCTGGCTGTTGCTCCATTTTCTGGATCTTTTTCTTTCTCATCCCTCTAATTTTGGGAGACGGAGATGCTGACTTGTCCCATTCCTGGAAACAAATCCAGTCCAATGTCCACAAAACAACAATCGACACGTTAATCTAGCCTCCCGTCCCACGGACATCTGTTATGTATGTTCTGTAAACACACGATCTCTCATTCATGATGGAAGCCACTAAGGAAAGCCATAGTGAGTCGTATGGAAAAAAAAAACCTGTCTAGTCTTGCATTCCGGCCATCCTTTGGGAAATCCACAAGTCGGGACATAAATGCAACAGCCACCTTCTGCTCTGGTGTTCTAAGGGAGATGTTTGGGTGCAGAATGAATAGGTTCTCTCATGGCCATCATGAAATAAATCACAGTGCTGTTTCCTTTTTCCAAAACTCAAAGGTCCTGTTT